TTTTCTACAAAACAAAACGGAAATCGAGGGGTTATGACGTCATTGACAGATGACACAATGGACACGCTCCGGTTCACTAGTTAAAATTGCTTATTTCTCTGGATTTAAACATTCTTCGAAACATTTGGGATAATGTAAGTACACAAGTCAGCAAAATATATAACACTGTTCTGTTCTAGTGGTTTTTGGATATTTTAATTAAAAAATCTTACATATTGTACATACCTGTAACGTGAAAAATACAGGTCTGATCAGGTCAGAACAGAAAAGGTGTGCCAATTTCTGTAGCTTAAAAACTTTAGGAGGAATTAGCAAAAAGTGAGGGATTTTTATTAAACAAATATAATGGTACTGGTAATAGAGTACAGTACCTGTTTAGTTGAACAGATGTCTTCATGTTTTGGTAGTTTAACAGTGGCTATAGACTTGCGCACACTCTTTGATTTTGGATATTTCTTGAAGATAACACCTAGATAGGACAATCAACACTATATGACACAATATGAGCCAATACTGCATATATGTGGATCTCATGTGGTAATGTTTCTGGCTATGGCCAGAGAAACAGGGAAATCCATTTCCACTAACCCAAGTTGCCGTCTTCCATGAAGAAGACAGACTGAGACACGTTGGTTTTCCTCTGATCCGCAGACCTCGACGGCCTTGCTGCTGTGCTGATATCAGCTGACTGGACTATAAAAAAAGACCATTTAAATATTCTGAAAAAAATATCAATGCACCATGAGTCAAATAAATAGTCCAGCATTTAGTAGTGTGTCTCTGACATGACACTGACATGCTTTCAGAATCTGACGTGGACAGAATGAGATACTTTATCTGCAGCAAAATAAAGAAAAATGTATTTAGAATATAAATGAAAACAAACAGTTTGCATGGCAAATAGAGTCCATTTGGTGTGTGATCTCTAATAATTACAGTCAGGATGTTAATAAGTCATCACACCTGGTGGGATATCTGCTTTAGAGCTGTTTGGCCTCCAAGTCAAGCTGTTCTGTGCCAATCTGCTCTTCTGCCTGCTTTCCTGTTCACGTCATACATCATGATGAAAAAGCATTCATTAAGAAAACATCTTTAAAGGCATAATTCTCCCAAAAATGACAATTCTGTCATCATTTATTCCCTCATGTTGTTCCAGACTTAGTGTTTTTTGCCAATACAGTGGAAGTCAATGGTCACCAAAACGGTTTGGTTATCAACATTCCTCAAAATATCTTCTTTCGTGTTCAGCAGAAGAAATAACTACAGGCTTGGAATGACGTGGGGGTGAATGAAAGCTGACAGAGTTCATATCCCTTTAAGTGTCCTACTCAAAAGACCAGTTTAGACCAGCATGCATTTCTAAGATGGTTTACATAGTCTGTAATCAAATACACCTGTACTTAAACAGCGCATATCAACCAAACAAACCGATTTTCATGATGGCTCTCAGCTAGAATCGGCTGAACAGGACTTGTTGAAAGGTCTGGCTATGTGAAACTAATCACTGGTAAATTCTAGCTGATGAAGGCAAGGTCTTACTGATTATACTAGTAATGAAGCATGATGAGAGCACCAGCACACCAGCATCTCAAACGCAACATATGCTGCTGCTGAACATATTCAGCATAGCATTTCAGAGAGTATGACGGAACAAGCATTTAACATGTTTGATGGTGAGATGAAGAGAGTGATCTGACCAGTCTAGCAAGGCTGAGTGTTGTGGGTCGAGGAGATGGCAGTTGCGCGTTGCATGCCCAGGCCCGGGGTTTGATGGATGGGGTACATGTTTCTCCTGAACCCCTGTCAGAGCCCTTCAGGATCAGAGAGTCCACTAATTCAGAGCACTGCAGAAAAAACATGGATGTATGAAGCATTACAATTATGCAGCATCAGCAACAACTGCAGGTAATATATAGTCAACATGAAACAGTGTTAGCGATCCATTTTACTTTGGTAATCTGATGGAAAAATGTAGGGTGAGACTTTATCTACTGGGTATTTACTGGATTGTGAAAAGGGGGTGGAAAAGCGTTAAGGTGGAGCAAATAAATACATACTGATGAAAGATTACAAAGCCAGCTTTGGGATTTCGTCTTTGAAATAACATTTATCTCCAAAAGTCTCTTATGCGGACCAAAGCTGATTTTTTTGATGCAGTAAAGAGAGTAAAAATGTGAAATATTATTACAATATAAAATAACTGTTTTCTATTTGGATATAGAGTGTTAATGTTCTTTTTAGCAACATCATATGACCCCTTTAATGCATCCTCGCTGAATAAAAAGTATTCATTTCTTAAAAAAAAAAAAATCTTGAACCCAAAATATTTAAACAGGAGTGTATGCATTAAGAAAGTAAACAGTCTCAATCATTCTTTGATTTAGTGACTTCACTGTGACTTTAACAGCAACTGGACTTGATTGAAGAGATGATGACGCAGCTCGGATGAGCAATGAAACTTTTTCAGCAAATCCAGCTGGTTTTGAATGAACACAAAGACCTGGATGAACCTTTCTAAACATCAACAACTGATCTTTTCTTGCAGGTGTTTCAAACTTTTCTTCGGGTTCCCATGAATTATTTAGACACTGTGGACACAGGTCACATACAGGTCATGTGAGAAAAGCGCCCGGAACACACTGCTCTGAACTCACCTTCTGAAAATAATTAACGGCCGTCTCCATTTCTCCAATTAGGGCACTGATGTCATCACTCTCCACAATGCCTGCAGGGAAAGACGAGGCAGAGGCTCATATTTTCCACTGCACACACACAAACACAAGACTTCCCATTGTAAGTTGCACTGGGTTCAGGCACCATGTGTTGTACACATGACAGAGACAAAAGCAGCACAACATTCAGAGCTCAAGTATACAGCAGCTCTAGGGACTTTTAGGAACCGTCTCAAAAACTGAACAACAAAATAAAACTGAATGATGGGACTGTCCGTCCATTCTAATCAAAAACTTATTTTTACAGCAGTTCCTGTAATTCTGTCCTACCTTCTACTTCAAACTCATCTTCCCTGAAGAAGTCAGTCAGCTATCATTCAGACACTCATACGACAGTCTCTTCTCACCAGTGTCAGTCATCCAAAGGAAGCGTCCGTTGCCCGCGTGGGCCAGGCCGCTCAAAGCCCGGGCGGTTTCAGTCCGGGTGGCGTAATGGGGCAGAGGGCAGCGGGCAGTGTCCTCCTCTCCGGTGAACAGGCACACGTGGAGATTCAGGTTTGTTGCGCTGCAGCGCTCAGACACATAAGCAGTGACAGAAACCTGAGGATGAGAGGTGATGATACATCTGTATCAAAATACAGAAAAGGCACCTTTTATTTCTGAACAGCAGAGGGCAGTACGGTCATTTTTGAAGGGTTCAATATGGTTTTTAGCAATTCATCACTATATCAAAATTTGAAGAATAATATGGAGGGACTAGGACTAATTATGTAATTTTTTTTTGAAAAAAAGTTTTTAAATTGACAAATTAATACACATTATTGTTTAATTATTGTATTTAACTATATTTTAATACATTAATTTAAGTAATTTTTTATTTAATAATAAATAGAATATTTTTTAAAACATACTTTAAAACATTAACTAAACAGTTTTAAAATGTCCATTTATTTTTCAATTTAAAAATTGTAAATTTTTCATTGGACATTATTCTATATGTGTATCATTTATATTAACTATATTTTGAAAAATGAATTAAATAAAGAGTTTTAAGTATGAGTTTTAATTATGTCAATGAATTTGTCCAATTAAAAGATTGATTTATTTGCATGTTTATGTTCAAATAACATTCCGGCCAAAACACTAACAACAAAAACGTATCTCCAATGTCTACAAAATCCTCCATGTGACAATGACACAAAGAAAGATACTTCATATAATAGCCCACGCCATTGTACATTTCTGTTAACCGTGTCCTATGAGAAACAAAGGGGTCTCAAGTGGGCTCTTGAAAAATGAAAAATGAAAATTTGATGAAGATTTACTCACCTTCGGACCATCCAAGATGTAGATGAATTTCTGAACAGTTTCTGAGTTTTGGAGAAATGTAGCATTACATCACTTGCTCGCCAATGGATCCTCTGCAGTGAATGGGTGCCGTCGGAATGAGAGCCTAAACAACTGATAAAAACATCACCATAATCCACAAATAATCCAAACGACTCCAGTCCATCGATTAATGTCTTGTGAAGCAAAAAGCTGCGTGCTTGTAAAAAAAAAAAATCCATCATTAAGGCATTTTATCTTTAAACCATCGCTTCTGGCCAAAACATGAGTCCATAATCCATAATAAGTGAATAATAATAAGTGGGAAAAAGTCCATCCCCTGTTGTCCTCCCACATCACTGACATATTTGTTTCGAGATGTTTTTGACTGTGCATATTACTCTCCTGATTCAGATGAGATGATTTTTTCATTGGAGAAAGCAATATTATGGAAGACTAATCTTTTACCCGGAAGCAACAGTTTGAAGATTAAAAACATCTTAATGATGGATTTGTTCATTATAAACACACAGCACAAGACGTTAATTGATGGTAGGGCTGCACGATTAATCGAACGCGATTAATCGCGATTGTCATGCACATTTTGTCAGTAAAGCCGGTTCTGTGATTAGTAGTAAATCTCCATCATCTGCTTTCAGGTGGAGCAGCATTTACTACACAGAGCCATAGTTCTCTGACAAGCTATGCAAAATCGCGTTCATAATCGCAGACGATATAATCGTAGGATTATGAAATCGACGAAATCGTTCGTGATAAGGACAGTTGTTTGCGTATCTTCTCAGTGAACTACGGCTCTGTGTAGTAAATGCTGCTCCATCTGAGACCACGTGAAAATACCACATCTAATAACATGTTTTTACTCCAAACTCACCTCATAACGTCTGAAAAAAGTGTTTGAAATAAATCCTTCTGTGAGATGATGTGGCTTCTTACACAGAATAATTAAGGCACACAATATTTCATTGTATTCTAAGCAGTGATAAAGGCTATGTCGATTAGCATTTCATTATAGATAGATACACTGAAAGATACGCATGACAATCGCAGCTTCTGCCTAATCGTGTTTCATCGCCTTTGTGATTTAATTTCGATTAATTGTGCAGCCCTGATTGATGGACGGGAGTGGTGTGGATTACTTGTGGATTATTGTGATGTTTTTATCAGCTGTTTGGACTCTCATTCTGATGGCACCCATTCACTGCAGAGCATCCATTGGTGAGCAAGTGATTTCTCCAAAACTATTCCAATGAAAGAGTAAACTCATCTACATCTACATCACGGATGGCCTGAGGGTGAGTCCATTTTAAGCTAATTTTTATTTTTGGGATGAAAAAGTCTTCCATTGGGCTGCATTCAATAGTTCTCTTGTAAAATCAACAAAATAACTGAAGGCCACAAGAAACGTGACGGCCACTAGACAACAAATCCACATCCTGGGAACTACGTGTGACAGGACCTTGGCTTGCAAGTGATTAAAATGAACCGTGAGTGTCCAACTAACCATATGTTGATCTGGCATGCCGGTGGTGAGGAGGTACACGCCTCGAGTCAGTGATGATTCTTCCTGTGCTTCCTCCTCTAGAGCGCACCGTAGAGCAGCCAGAGTATTACGACCCCTGACACACTCGACTGCCTGAATCCACCTGAACACACACACACACACACACACACACACAGAGGTCTCAGAGTTTGTAAGTAACAAGATTTATCACCAAAAGACTATTTCTTTCTAGGCTTCAATTAAACTCTAGACCTTGAAAAGCAGAACAGGCTATATTAGGAAATGCACACAGGCTGCACAGATTTACTGTTTTGGGATGAACTTAAACTGAACTTGGGAACAAAAACAATTGCTAGAATGAAATACACAACTGAAATGGAGTTCTGTCATGACAACTCAGGGATTGGCATGGTAATGTACATGACAATGTTAATGTATTTGGTCTTGGCGGAACAGATCTGCTACGCTGCTGCTGCGGCAGAGCAAGTACCGAGACTTGCTACTGCCAATACATCCACAACATGCTGCTGTGAGCATGTAAGAAATATTGCTGCTGCAAATATAGCATACATGAAATAACCCCCATATAGAGTAAATGAATCACCTCGTAGCAGATTTATACAGGTGGAGCTGGGGAAGGTGGAGGGTTTCTGAAGCAAGCTGCACTGCTACAACAAGCACTAGTCATATATTTGAATGTTGAACAGCGGGCTCATTGGCTACCGATACAGGAGAGAACCAATCAGCTGTGCCATGTGATAATGATGTCATTAGGTCAGATTGAGTTAGACCTATCGGACTGCGCCATCTAGAGTTTCATGCCAGAACTCTGTATTAAGACTAAGTGAACACAGAATGAAATGCCTAAAATGGATTAACTACTATTAAGGTTTTTTTTGTTTTGTTTTGTTTGGAGATAGATGATAGTTGTGATTTCAGTCATTTTTACTCCGTTTTGATCAAAATCTGATCTGGTAGTGCAGTGTGAGCAATAGCAATAGTGATGCCTTAGCAAACACCACTAATGAAAGGCCTTTAAAATCAGAAAATGAGAGAGAGAACAACAGACTGTGAAGTCAAAAGCACATCCTGTCCTCTTACAGCCAAACAGCTTGAAGGTTTTCATGGGTGGAGGGAACCATCTTCTCCTGCCATGACTTGACATCTGATCCAAAACTGTGATGAACATTGACAAGATCACATACAGTACAGTGAATGTGGCAGCAAACAGGAAATGAACTCGACAGATGACATGTTATTCATTCCTGCAATATAGTACATTTCATGGCATAATGTGCTATAATATATTAAATAAAATATTATCAATTTTAAAGGATGGACATTAAAATGAACCTTAAGTCAGGGTCCTAATATAAGCTCACTGTCAATGGCTATTTATTTTCATCCTGTTAGGCATCCTGCTCATTTACTTTCCATATATAAACAATCAAGTCATGGAAATACATTTTTAAACAAAGTTCAAAGAACATTAAATGACACTTTTAATAATTCACAATGTGTGTATGTAAATGTGGCTCCACACTATAGATTTATTCAATAACAGGTAACCGGCTGAGTCATGTGACATGATGAAATGCTCTGGAGTGAAGCCGTGCAGCTGCTCTGCAGTATTAAGAGCAGGTATGTGCGCTGCGCTCCCAGGCAAAATCTATTAAGACTTCTATTTATGCCAGACTAAAGTAGATCGCTCATGACTATGCTAAAACAGGAGCAGACAACTGCTGAAGACTGACGATAAATGGCACAGAGGCTTTATACTGGCCCATTACTGCCTTCATTTCCTCTGTGTGATGATACAAATGTGATTCTGTTATTAATAAAGAACACCGGCACTGATTTATGAAAAGCAATTTATGATGTGTTTGTACAGGCATTTGTGTTGGATGGCCAGCTGTACTGTAGGGACCAATTTAATGTACCCTTACAAATTGACACTTTTAAAAATAAAGGCGCCAAAAGGGGGTTTCACAGTGATGCTATAGATTAAAGAACCATTTTTGGTTCCCAAAGAACCTTTCAGGTTTTGAAAAGAACCAGTTTTTCTGAAGAATCTGAAGAACCTTTTTCCACTATTGTGAAAAGGAAAGGTTCCATATTTGTTAAAGGTTCTTTCATAGATGCCAATAAAGAGCTTTTACTATTAAGAGAGCATACTGGCTATCATTAATCCCATTAATTAATTAGTTCATTAATTAATTAGCTATCATGTAATAACACAGTACTTTGATATATATCATGAGCAAAATGGACACAGCCTGACACTTCTATCAACCTAATAAAAAAAACTACTGCTTGCTGTATTATCTAGTTTTATATATATATATATATATATATATATATATAGGCCTGTTAATTTTTCAAAACTGTTGACTGTTGCCAGGATCCACCACCGCAGCTTAAATAGGCCGGTCAGATGATGTCAGAATTTATTCTCCTATTAAAATCTTTGTTTATTTACTTGGTATCTAAATGTGGGATTGACAGCTGGACCACAAGTCGACCAGTGTATCGAGAAAAGTCTCAGTTCTCCCTATCGCCGGTCCATTCCTGCTTGTACCTGAACTCTGCTGCTCTGGTGCAGTGCCACACACAGATAAAGTTTATAATTTGCATTTACGTGAGCTGTTTTGCGCTAGACTTCAAATAATATTAATATATCAATATATCAATTTCATTGTATAGATGCAAATGTAGATACATACACTACCGTTCAAACGTTTCTAGAAACATCTACTTATTCTTTAGTTTTGCTATTGTTCACATTTTAGGATTAATGCCACCATCAAAACTATATGAAAAAACAAATGGATGTATGGGAATTAAATATTAAATCAAAGCAATCTATATCATTTGTCTACATTCAAGCTTTCCTCATTTTAGTCATTTTGTAAAGCAACTCCATTAGGTGCATCCTGTATTGAACGGGTTCACATCCAAACGGTTCAATCCAAGCCTTTGGATTTAAATTGGGCTTTTATTCACATTTAAGCATTGATCAATGCACATCAGATATGGTCAATAGCAGCTCAACCGTGCTTGAAAGCAAGAACAAACCTCATCGGTTTTCATTTAAACTACTTGGTAAACATGGATTGCATTTCTGATGTCTGTATGAACTTTTTAAAGCTTGAAAGTTTTGGTGGAATCGCTGTGTGCAAGTGTGTCCGAACTTTTGACTGGTATATAAAGAGGAAAATCTCAAGTTTTACAATGACTTCCAGAGAGAAAGGGACAGGAGACTTTGGGACTAAATGACAAAGCAGATCATAATCTGTCACACTATAAATGAGTGAAAACACTTACACGATGACATTGAAGCTGTGTTTATTAGCCAGCTGCTCCTGCAGTAGTATCCGGATGGCATGCTGGATATGGAGCTGGTAGTGGGCGTTCATCCCAGACATGTCCAGAAGCACCTGCACCCTGCATGGAGAAAGACAGAGAAGGAGCAACTGAGACACACAGATATACTCCACATCCCTGGATCCTCCTGCATGGCCCAGCAAAAACGTCAGCGTTAATGGATTTCCACAAAAGTTAAAGGCTGGAAAACGAAGATCAATATGCACTAACACTCAATAATAAACATGGTTTGTGCTGACCACAATGCATTTTGTTCAGTTCACAGGAACCCAACGCAGTGTTCACTGATTATTTGCGAAGTCCACTTTGCAGGGTGCTGTTGAAATAATAGAAACCTATCTATACAGTCTAAAGGTTCTCACCTCTGCTCACACACGGTTCCCCATATCTGCTGGCTTCCCGTCCGGTTCAGCCACTGAACTCTCCTTTCAAACAGATGCACAGCACCCATGAGTCGCTTCTGCATGCCACACATGAAAGACAAAACTAAGTGAAAACTACAGAATGCCACAGATTCTTAACAGATGGGAAGAAACATGCAAAATCCATTTAAATACAACTTTGTATGGAATAGCACACACATCCTTACTGTCTGACAGATATCACTGAAATGGGAGTTGTGAGATATCACGTCTGTCTCTGTGATATCTCAACCTCTCAGTTAGGTAAATAATATATCATTCAGTAATGCGGAGTGTTCATGTTAAGGAATTTTTGAGAGTGGCTAACGCAGTCTTCAAGTAGTGATGGAAGACACGAATGACCAAGTGAAATTCACTCCCATGACTTAATTTGTGGCCACGTTGTACTAATTCTTTTTGTCGTTTTAGTTAAATTGTGGCCAAGTTAGCAAGTTGGAGGTTAGCAAAATGGCTAACATTACTTACAATGCTTGAAGGACTGCAGCTGGTTTTATATGATTTCTAGATGGTATAAGTATGGTATATGGAGTTTTTGGTTTAAAAAATGTACCTGGTACTTTTGCAGTGATGGAAGATCGACATGCAAATTCTTCACTGTTCCATCATGCCACTCAAACCGTACCATGACCCGCTGCAGACAAGCACACTGAGTTAGTTCAGTAAGTCTGCTGTACATGTGAACAGATGGGTCTCAAACTGGATTATAAATGCAGCAGGACATGTTCATCACCTCGTGAACTGTAGAGGAAACAGTCTTTCCCAAGACTGGCACAAACATCTCTTGTGGAGAATAGGCATTACGAGCCAGCAGCTGATACAGATCCAGCTTCTGAGCTGCACGAACACAACTGTTAGCCAAGACTAACCACTCTGATCAAAGAGACTTACCCAAGATATACACTGGCAATTAAACTGACACATGCAAACATGTTTGTAAGATTTTGAGATTGTGCTTTTTGGTCGTTACAGTACTGACTATTCTAGAAAATTTGAACATTCTTAAAAATAATTTGATATTTAAACAGATATTCTCTTATCAGACTTTGAAAAGGCATCGCATGGCAGATACCCTTCAGGCCGTGGGTCTTCAGCCATTCACTGGAGGTGGTGGGTACTGGGCCTGTGGTCTGGATACACAGTGGAGCACTGAGAGCAGAACTTGCAGGACTGAAGTCAGAAAGAGTCACACTGTCCAAACCTGTGGAGATCTGTGAAGGTTGAAGTGAGAACTGAAAGTAAAAAAGTGAAAGTTTCCAGCTCTCATAACTTTATAGTATGTAGGAGTAAACTGGTAGAAAACACTACATTTCACAAACCAAAAGTGCCATGGTACTACAATATTTTTTAGACATGTACCATAGCAATACCATGTTTTACTGGACATATACTATGTTAGTATATCTTAGGGTACATGAATGCAGCATTAATATTCACCCTTGTGAAAAATAAGTACATTTAGCATACTATTAAAAAGAGTACTTATTACATAAATAGCATGCTTTAAAATAATATACTTAAGTGTGAACTTAATGTAATATCTTCGGACACTTAACTGTATATTAATTGCAATTACATGAAAATTTATTATAATTTACATTTTAATTAAATGCAATTAATTTCGTCAACTAGGCAGCCATCGGCACAAGACCATGAGAATCAGACGAGTCCTCCGCACAATCTGACTTGCGTTGCAGCCTGGAATTAAACCACACCATGCTGGTTTCTTCTGGCCAGAGGAGAACTGTTTCTCCCAAGTTTTTTTTTTTTCTCCATTTCTGTCACCGATGGAGTTTTGGTTCCTTGCCACTGTCCCCTTTGACTTGCTTAGTTGGGGACACTTAATCTCTGACAATATTATTGACATGATCACACAGACACTGAGCTGGACGATGACATCACAGAATCAAAGATGAACTGAGTTTAACTGAAAAAATTGACTGCTACTACTGTCCTTTATTTAGAGCTGCTTTACAGCAGAATTGAATTTCTGTTTGCATTATTGACACACTATTTTCTAGTTTAACACTGTGAAGCTGCTTTGACACAATCTGTATTGTATAAAGCACTATATAACTATAAAGGTGACTTGACTTGACTTAAAAGTGCTTTTTTGACCCACTTAAGTAGGACAAGTTGAAATATGGTTAAAGTGTACTGACAAATGTACTGAAGAACATTTATGTTATGGTTAAATACACTTTAGCCTCATTTATTTTAAAACTTGTATGTCATGTAAATTTTTGTAAATACACATATATGACAATGAAGTTCCAAATCAGAACATTTAAAATGTAAATCAAGTAATACTAAGAACGAACATTCAACAAATGCCTCGTTTATAATGGGTTTTATTGGTCTTGTCTCGTCGCTCCGGCCGGGACACAGAGCATCACAGTATGTGAGGGGCGTAACATTTCCGTCACACGCTTGAGGTATTCGGCCAATCACAACGCACTGGATAGCTGGCCAATCAGAGCACACCTCGCTTTTCAGAACGATGAGCTTTGTAAAAATCGACGCGTTTCAGAAAGGCGGGGCATAGAGGAGAAACAATAATGTACAGTATGTGGAAAATAATGTTTTTTTAACCTTAAACCGCATAAACACATTTCATTACAACAAATACACAAAATAATGTTCTTTTTTAGCAACGTCATATGACCCCTTTAAAACTTTTAAACTGACATTATTTCAAAGTTAACTTTTTAAAAGTGTACTTGCAAAACAGTCATGAATGAGCACTCTACGTACACTTTCATTAATGTAATATTATTTGCAAGTACAGTTTATTAAAAATATACTTTTATGCTTTGAAGTACACTACAAGTTCACATTCCATAGAATTAAGGGCACTTCTTTTTCACAAGGGTCATTCATGGTATGTATCAGAGAACCGTCGTAGTAAAATATCATCACTCTACCTCGATACTAACACAGTACTTTTCTGTAATTGTCTACAGAAGGATTTTAATGTAAATGTTTGTAGCATCACCTCTGAATCAACAGTGACAGCTGTGTCTCCCAGTCGACCCTGGCGCATGTTCTGAATTTGGGTAAGAACATTGCGAGCTGCTTTAATCTCCGCCCACAGCAGATCTACGTCAGTACTGCTGTCCACTACACCCTGGTAGACAAACACACACAGATATTCCTACACTATTTATGAAATAAAGTGGTCCTAAAAAGTATTTGAACACTGACGGCACACAAAAATGTCTGAAGGTTTTTAGAATAACATTTCGAAGCGATTATCATCTGGAATCAAAAACTGCAGGAGGTTTTCTCTTCACTAACTTCACTTGTCTTTTGTCTTTTTTGCTCAGTGATTTTTAATCAACTGTGTTTTGGTGGACAGATGAAGTCATTTATCCTTAATTTCAAACACGGGTGTCCTAGAGAACCACATTAAAGGGATAGTTCACCCAAAAATTTAAATGATGTAATCATTTACTCAACCTTATGTTGTTACAAACCCATAAGACTTTTGTTCACCTTTGGAATCAAAGACATTTTTAATGTTTTTTCATATTTTTTTTTGTCAATCCATTGGAAGTCTTGCCGATTTCAAGCTTTCAAGCTTCAGTAACTTCATAAAGACATAAAAGTAACCCAAATTAATTTTGAGGTTTATTCCAAGTCTTCTGAAGACAAAGTTGTTTTATATGATGAACACATTTAATTTATTCACATATAAACATTGAACAACACACATGCATAGAGCACATCGAATATGATAAAAGGCATATTTGCTCATCGTAGCTGAATAAACCTCACATGTCAAGCAAGTGCTGATTGTGTCTCTTCAAAGACTTAATTTATATGCATTACTTTTAAGACATTTTTACTAACTTTCTGAAGCCTTTGGTGCAATGGAATTAAATGGAGGGATATCTTCACTTGTGTTTCGAAGATGAAAGATTTTCATTCTTTAAGTATGAACATGATCCACTAACATCAGACAATAACAAGTATCCAAATAATTTTTGTCTTGTTTGAACATTATGTCTACTATAATTTCAAACCCTTTTTTTTAAAATAATTCTTTGCTTGAAAAGTGTGTTTGACAAAACCAGCGACTTAAGACTGCTTTTGTGCTCCAGGGTCACATATTTTGAGGGTTTTTTACAGATTACCAGTGCAGCAGAAAACAGGTGATATCTCCCCCCGGAAACTTCTGCCATTTGCTTCACAGTCTCCTACGACAGCACACATCAATCAGTGACAATAATGAGAAACGTCCCTCTGCATATTACATAAAGACCGTCTATGATACTCACAATGGCGGCCGGACTGCTGCAGCTGTAGGCGACCGCATGAACACAAGGCATTCGGTTCTGAGTTAAAAAATCACATATAACGTCTACTGTCTGATCAGGGCTGAAAAAAATGTCAAGCAAGTGCTGATTGTGTCTCTTCAAAGACTTAATTTATATGCATTACTTTTAAGACATTTTTACTAACTTTCTGAAGCCTTTGGTGCAATGGAATTAAATGGAGGGATATCTTCACTTGTGTTTCGAAGATGAAAGATTTTCATTCTTTAAGTATGAACATGATCCACTAACATCAGACAATAACAAGTATCCAAATAATTTTTGTCTTGTTTGAACATTATGTCTACTATAATTTCAAACCCTTTTTTTTAAAATAATTCTTTGCTTGAAAAGTGTGTTTGACAAAATAAATGTCACTTTAATTTTATTTTGTTATCTAATAGAATAAAATTCTTATATTTTAAGTGATTTCAGTGTCCGAATACTTTTTGTCACCACTGTATGTAATTTCGAAAAAATCACATATAACGTCTACTGTCTGATCAGGGCTGAAAAAAATAAATAAAAAATCATTAGATAATCATTATAAGGTTCCAAACATAATTTCGCATCAGTAACTTAAACTGCAAACAGTGACCACACATTTTCATCTGCCTTGTTTCCAAAGTATTTTTTCTATTGATTTTCTCCATGAGCTTTCTATGATACAGAGTTCTGAGTCAAGGACCAAATTAAGCCACTCCATTATGACATTGAAACATTTGATTTGAAGCAAAAAAACGAGAGTGTAAAGAGACTAGATTACATGATTTGCAATGCTTCATGGGAGTGGGCTGTTGAGCTATTTATATTTCCAAATTGCACTGACTTTGGTCTTTTACAGACAAATAGAGCAACCATTTAGCAACCTCACAATTCATGGTGGATCTGTCTCGAAAGCTTTATATGTTATCATTTGAAGCCTGTTTCTCCATGGAGAAAATGAGAAGGATTTTTACTTCTGTAACCCCGCTGTTGCGCTCTATTATGCCTAGGCTGCCACTTTTAAACCATCTCCTCAGACATTACCAATTATAGCACTCAAACTATTTAAGGAAAATGGACTGCAAATATGTCTAAAGGCGGCCGTGAATGTGAAGGACATGAAAAGGCTGCTGGCTCAAGTTAAGTTAAGAAACAGTGATTCATCACAGCAAGACAAACTCTCACCGAGAGCCCAGGATGATGAGTAGTGTGTCCAGCTCTGAGCGGGTCAGTGTCCTCTGTAGCGCCTGCAGGAGACCACAGCCTCCACCTGCCCGCAGCTGCATGACCCACGCACAGCACTCCCTGAGCCTGAGACAGCATGTGTTCACTCAGAAAGAGCCTCCTGCTCTTGAACTCATTCATGTTTCTTTACATGTAGCATAACAAAAAAAGGATACTGTGTAGCTATATTCCAAAACCTAGCGAGCTGCTTCCGTAGCTCCCGGCATGAAGACTGTTTCAAGAGCTAGGTATCGTAAAAATTGCTAACAGCAGAATGAACTGATGGGGTAAAGGGCTTACATGATCACTGTCCGTATTATGACTTATAATGCACTGCACATAATCAATTAGCCATATATATATATATATATATATACACATAAAAAAACTTGTTTGATTGAATAGTGGAGAGGCAAATGAGTAGTGTGTGATCTGTGTTGTGGAAACAACGTCACCCACCTTAGTGGACAGGTATCCAGCGGTTTGTCCCAAAGGCTGCTGACTTCTGAGCCGTAGGACAGCAGATGCAGCTGTTTTTTGAAGCGCAGTTGCTCGTCAATGAGAGCCTTTGGTAAAAAGAAACCACAAAATGAGCAGTGTAATTGATTCATTGAATAAAATAAAGCATGCAGTTGAAGCAACGACTCATTTGGGATCCTACTAGAAGCTCTCGCTGGAGATCTGCTAGTCTCTCTGTAGAGCAGGTCAAATCAGACGTGTCGACAAGCACTCCGACGCGGGACCCGTTCACCACCCCAAACACCTGACAGATCAAACCAAACCAACACAGGACATCAAAGTTCTGCTTAAACCAGATTCATGGAGTGAAGATCTCAGAGATTCAATTTACCTTCCTGTTTCCTTGACCGAGCCACTTGATTTGATCATGGTACATCTCAACGGCACTACAAACAAACACCTCAATTCAAAAATCCATTTTGGGTTATTATATTCAAAAACAGTGTTATAAACATGAAATCATGACCCATGATCTGTCAATTGTGTAATAAAACTAACAACACATTGACTTCTAAAGCCACCTGTGTCTTTTCAGTACTTTACTGCATCCATTATTGTGATTCATTTCATCAGTTAATCTGTCATGTATTTTGTCATATAATGTAATTAATTCAACTTTTCGACAGGCCTATGACATGTACTGCATTCAGCAGCACTGAGAAGGATAACGTATCATCATGGTGACTGTGCAGTGGAGGAGATGATGCTCACATGTAAAGCTGTTCTTCAAAGTCTGCCAGTGACTCACTGCTGATGTGCATCTGTTTGCTCACCCCGTCTCCTCTCTCCGATCTGACACACACACACACACACACACACAGAGAGAGAGAGAGAACACTAGTCTGGTACTGGTTGGAAAAAATTCACAAAGAACATGTCAGAGTCATATTTCACCAAAAGCAAATGAAAAAAGGCATTGTTTTGCATAAAGCAAACAGCCTATTTTTAAGGCCCCATAAGATATTTTTATATCATTAACATTTTTATGACAATTGAACACATTTCTCGCACAAATTATTAGAACTGCTAACACTTACATATTGTATTACACAAATATCTGGACCCAACAATTACACATGAAAACATTAGCATTAAAAGCATTAATGCACTGAATTGAAAGCATTACTCATTGGGTCCAGCACTTTTTATTAATCGTGACTAAATATTTGAACTAACTGGCACAAACTGACAGTTTACAGTCATAATGCATAACAACATGATAATCCAAAAACAGCCTTTATTTTCTTTATGCAAAACATAGTTTCTAATTTTTTTATGCCATAGCACATACATTTAAAAATAGTACTTATTATGGAAATAATATGTGGCCCTGGACCACAAAACCAGTCATAAGGGTAAATTTTTCGCAATTGAGATTTATACATCATCTGAAAGCTGAATAAATAAGCTTTCCATTGATGTATGGTTTGTTAGGATCGGACAATATTTGGCCGATATACACAACTATTTGAAAATCTGGAATCTGAGGGTGCAACAAAATCAAAATATTGAGAAAATCATCTTTAAAGTTGTCCAAATGAAGTTCTTAGCAAAACATATTACTAATCAAAAATTAAGTTTCAATATATTTACGGTAGGAAATTTACAAAATATCTTCATGGAACATGATCTTTACTTAATATCCCAATGATTTTTGGCATAAAAGAAAAATAAATCATTTTGACCCATACAATGTATTGTTGGCTATTGCTACAA